TGTGCCCTGAGGGCTGAATTATCAGCAAAAGTTTTCCCACATTCATTACATTGGTAAGGTTTCTCCCCAGTGTGAATTCTCTGATGAGCACACAGGTGTGTCCTTTGGGAGAAAGTTTTCCCACATTCGGTACATTCATAGGGTTTCTCTCCTGTGTGAATTCTTTGATGGACTATGAGGGCTGCTTTATAGACAAAGGTTTTCCCACATTCATTACATTCATAAGGTTTTTCCCCTTTGTGTATTCTCTCATGTCCACTGAGGTATGATTTCTGGGAGAAGGTTTTCCCACATTCACTACATTCATAGGGTTTTTCACCTGTATGAATTCTCTGATGTGTACTGAGGTGTGTCTTCTGGGAAAAAGTTTTCCCACATTCAATACATTCATAGAGTTTCTCCCCAGTGTGAGTTTTCTGATGTGCTCTGAGGGCTGAATTATGGGCAAAAGTCTTCTCACAGTCATGACATTCATATGGTTTCTCCCCTGTATGAATTCTCTGATGTACTCTAAGGGCTGAATTGTGGGCAAAGGTTTTCTCACAGCCATTACATTCATAGGGTTTCTCACCAGTGTGAATTCTCTGATGTGCTCTGAGGGCTGAATTATGGGCAAAAGACCTCCCACAGTCATTACATTCATAAGGTTTCTCCCCTGTGTGAATTCTCTGATGTGCTCTGAGAACAGATATATGGGCAAAAGATCTCCCGCATTCATTACATTCATAGGGTTTCTCCCCTGTGTGAATTCTGTGATGTCCTCTAAGGGTTGAATTATCAGCAAAAGTTTTCCCACACTCATTACATTCATAGGGTTTCTCCCCTGTATGAATTCTCTGATGTGCAGTGAGGTGTGTCTTGTGAGAAAAAGTTTTCCCACATTCAATACATTCAGAGGGTTTTTCACCTGTATGAATTCTCTGATGTGCCCCGAGATGTGATATCTTGCAGAAAGTCTTCCCACATTCAGTACATTCATAGGGTTTCTCTTCTGTATGAATTCTCTGATATTCTTTAAGCAGTGCCATTTTGGAGAATGATTTCCCATATTTATTACTTTGAAAGGGTTTCATCTCTGTGTGTGTTCTCTGGTGTACTAAGAGGGCAGACTTCTTGTAAGATTTCCCACATCCATCGTTATCATAATGCTTCTCCTTTGTGTGAACTGTCAGATGTTCACTGAGGTTTGATGTCTGAGAGAAAGTTTTTCTACATTCATTACATTCATAAGGACTGACCCCCATATGAGTAGAAAGATAATGAATAGTGTGTGAATTTGAACAAAAGCATTTCCTGCTTTCCTCATATTCATAAGTTTTCTCCCCTGAACAGGTTGTCTGATGCTGAATGAGGTGTGCTTTCTCGTAAAAGGACTTCCTGCATTCATTACTTTCAAATGACTTCTCTCCTGTGTCACGTTCCTGATGTACACTGAGCAGTGAGTTTTGATGCAAGCATTCCCCATATTTAGTACACTGGTAGAATCTATCTTCTGTCTGAGTTCTCGGATGCATTCTAAGGTCTAATTCCTGGCAGAAGGCATTTGCACATCCATTAAAAACACAGAACTTATCTCCAGTTTGTGTCTTCTGATGTATTAGATGGGCTGAGCTATGGATCAAGTTTTCTTCATATTTACTCCTTTTAAAAGCACCCTGTCTTGTAACAGTTTGCTGAGGTTGAGTGTGGGGTGGATTCCTGTTGCGGTTACTTCCACTTTCATTACATTCATAGTTTTTCATAGCCCTGTGAACTTTACTGTATTCCAATATGATGGTTTTGTCACAGGATCTCCCATATTCATTAATATCAAAGCTTTTCTCTCTTGTGTCAGTGCTCATTTGGTTAAATACAGTTGCTTTATCACAGGTTTTCCTAAATTCATCATCCTGATAGGATTCCTCTCCTGTTAGACAAGTCTGGTATCTAACACAGGCAACAGTCTCATCATGTAAAACTTCTCCAAGTTTACTACATTCCAAAGGTTGCTCCAGAGTTTGAAATTTCTGATGATCTTTCTTATGACTGAGAGATTTCACATTTTTATTGTATTTGTAAGACCTCTCTCCGGTATGAATTTTCTTGTGTTTAATATCAAGCAGCTTTTCACATATATTCATGTAATTAGCCTTCTTTTTTGAACAGTTTCTATCCTTAACAATCAAGTCAGAGAAAAGTGGCAAATTCATTCTACATGAGTCACATTTACAGGGCATTTTTCCTGAAAAATCTGGAGTTATATCCAGAATACTTGGTTTTCCTAAAACTTTCTGCCCTTCTTTACTCAATGTTTTGATACCACTGAATATTACTTGCCACAGAGGTTTCTCTTCTTTTTCCTGGTTCCTCTCAATGTGGACATCAACTTTGTAATATCCTAAAATGACAAAAGTTGAAAACATCATATGAATCTAACATTTCTTACTGAGAGGAGCTTATAGCCATATGTTTTGTCATGTATTGTATAGTTTCTGGTCATGTTTTCAAAATTAATGATTCATGCACACAGAATCTCTCTCCCTGTCTCCCTCCTACCCATGTTGTTTTAAAACAAAGAAAGGAAAAAATAGGTTTTATTTCCAGTGCTGGACAAGATGGAGCAGTCCCATTCTTCCCAGGTCTTCCCTCTAACAACTGGAAATCCCTGGGAAAAAAATTTGACAAGCAAATAAAGATGCTACAAAATGGAAAGAAGGTAGACTCTTGGACTTAGGAAATGACACAGAAGAGAATTCCAAGATTTTCTTTCTGTTTCCCATATGTCTTACATGTGGTACTCAAGTGCTGGAGAAGTCTGCAATCCAAAGCCAACAATAGACAGAGACAAAAGAGCTCCAGAAAAAGCCTGTTTTTCTAACCAAATATCTGAGAAAAAGGTGGGTCTAACAGAATAGAAAATCTTTTTGACAATATCCACCATACTTAAGGCCCCCCCTCCAAAAAAAAAAAAAGAAGAAAAAAGAAACACTCATCTCTGCAGTTCTACCACAGATATAAATGATTTTTACATACTTATAAAACTTTCCTCCGTGAGCCAAATCAAGGCTCATAGGAAAGATCATGAAGAATCCTGAGAAATTTCCATTCATAAGACATTCTGAGAGATAGTAACAGCAGCCCATTGCCAAAATTCCACCTGGAAACATATTCCTATCTACTCTATGAAATCTGCAT